GTGACCGAGCACGCAAAGGCAACCAGAGACGCCCACTTCCTTCAAACCCCCACACAAACACACACTCACACTCCAACACAGAAAGAAACTTCCAACCTGTATGCATGCAAAAATGAACTTTTACTATGAAAAAGTAGCAGAGTTTAAACATCGAATAAGGGGGGAGAATGAGCTGGACGTTAGAGAGAAAAAGGCTGTAGAAGGAGCCTTTGGGGCAGCCGAATGTCTTCTCTCCTAAACCCCCGGGATATACAACCCTAATTATCTGACCCCGACCCTCTCATCTGCTCCTCAGGCGTTGCATTCATCACATCCCATTCATTCCTCTCACACAGACCTGAGACATATCACACGACCGAGATTCCCTTTGTCATCTGTTGGTGCACTGATGCACTCCGCTTTAAGTTTTCAAGATACAAACAAACCCTTTGGTGCTCAACACCTTTGGGTTATCATCGTCATCTACGACTCAGGGCTGCTGTTTCCACAGGCATCGCATTCAGGCATTCTTGTGTGTTGCAGAATGAGAGGAGGATATGAAGACATCTGTTCTTTTCTCAAAAGTGAGAAAAATGTTGAAAAAGCTGGTTGTCGTTGCATAATTTCACAGCAAACAGCAAATTATCACTATGAATCTATTATAAAGTAGAGAGCCAACACAGCAACTTTAAAAAAAACATAGCAGCAATTAAAGTCAGTTTTCCAACATTAATGTAGAATGTTTAGAGGGGAACCCAAAGAGATGACAGTTAAATTAAAGTACAACTCAAAAGTGCTTTAACATTTGCAGATTTTCTGTTGAAAAGACAAAAATGCAGCCTTAACGGATTTTTTTTAAAAACCTGGGAACAAACCAATTACTTTGGCTGATTACTATTCTTATACAGTATGTATTTGTGTGATTAAAGAGGAGAGGAAACAGCAGTCTCCAGCCTCACAGGAAGTGTAATTACACACCAGTGCAGAGAGCAACCTTACAGCCACATGAGCAGACACACACACACACACACACACAGGGCAACACCTGCATTCCTCCAGATAAAGAGTCATGTTTCTTAAAAAGCAGGCACAACAGGCTGGAAAGATGAATTTGTTTCATTTCATTACACACGTTTGCTGCCAAGATAAACTTTTCTCCCAGCACATGTTGGCACCTCAATGTTATTCGCCCGTTACACCCAGATCAGAATATATAGCATGTCCAGCTAACCAATCGGAAGCATCGCTATGGGCCTTCAAAATTCTGCACTTTACCAAAATACAGTATATATACACAGATACTATGAGACAAAAAAACAAACACACACAGACAGACTTGTTAGTGGGATTAAAACCCGGACTTACCAAATAAGGAGTTGGAATAAACCACCGTTATACTTAGTTTTACAATGTGGGAAACATTTTCCCCAAACTACGGCCCCCCTGTCTTAAAACTGTTCAGCCTTTGCCTTCTCTCTTTTCATCTGACCTCTATCTGAAACTCCACTTTATCGCCCCAATAAAAGCTCAGTGTTTAAAAACGGGAGGTACTAAAATGTAGATAAAACTGACAGGAGTTACTTGTGCGATTAGAAGCTACTAGTAAGAGAGTTTGCTGGTCTCTGCTATTTTTTATTTTTATCACCTCAGACCCATTTTCATGTACTTCACAGCGAATACTTCTGGAGTTCTTGAAGGCATTGGCTCTTTGTCACTGGGTTCTTTACAACGCTGTCCTGTGGATGATGCAGACATGACCATAGGACGGTTTTATACAAGCACCATGCTACTCCTACCATAAGCCTTTACACAGATAGAGACAAAAAAATACATTTTACATTTCATAAACGGAGGCAGAAAAAAACATGTTCTTTCCGTTTGCCATATAATGCAAACCATTTAACACCCAAATTCAATGAATTTAATGACGCAGCAGAATCTGCTGACATGGCATAGTTGCTCTGTTTGAAAAGAAATGAAAGGGTTGAACAACTCTGAGCTCTTAAGACAAACTTTTCCTTTCACCTCTTCCTCCCACCACTGCCTCTCTGCAGCCAAACTCTTTTACCATCTTTCGCGCTCACTAATAACTCCGGCTCGTCTTTCTCTCTTTTACCCCAAACCCTCGAGTCAAAGTTTTTCTGAGCTCCCCAGAGTTCAGAGTGTAAATCTGTGTGACGCCCAACATACTCCTATTCACTGCAGGTTTTACTATAGCTCAGTCTGCTATGCAAGCCGACGCACGACTTCACAGATGTTAGTAATAGGTCAAAACAATATAACAAGATAAAAAAACAGAAGATTTCCACTCCCTCCCCGTCGAAGATTCTTCTTAAAGTCGCTGACTCCTGAGTGAACCCTGCATGCATAGTGATAGTGACATAATGCGTTTGATTCGACATAGCCTGGCATGCCACTTCATTTAAGAGTAGCCGCCATGTTTGGGGACACAGCCATCTCAGATCACATTATCTATATTTTGAGGAGACAGACGATGGGAGTGACAGAAGGTCAATGGTAGGGAGCGCCGAGCCAAGATGGTGTCATGTATTGGGAGGTGGAGTAGAGGGCTGCCTGGCTGACTCCCGACAATGTTCCCTGCAGCTGTCCAAGGACTTGCATAACAACTTGATGGATCCAAGTAGCATGAATCACCGGCTGCATTACATTTAATGCATCAGTGGCTGATTTTTCCTTTACAGAAAGAGTGAAGAGTAGAATATGTGGGAACTTCTGAGAGCGTAATACAATTGTATCAAAGAGAACACGGAGATATCTTGTGCAATGCAAGTTAGCGGTCATGACAATTATTTTAATCAATTTCTCTACGACAAATTAAAACGTTTACCGAATTATCAGCATCTCTGGCAGCACCGTACATGTTGAGAGCATCGTTAGTACTGCATTGCTTGTATGATGCTCTTGTGCTGCCCATGTGAAAGATGTGGGTGGTGACCACAGAGGAACTAAAGGTTTCCTTTGTGTGTATTTGACTTTCTTTCAGTCTTTCCCACAGGGAATACCAAAGCCTCCATACAGGATATCAAGAGAAACGTCAGTGTGTCTCTGTGAATACACATCTGTGTGTCACTGTGTTTATGGAGGTGTCGCATGAATACACTTTTCTGAGAAAAAAAAGGATTTATAGAAGACCAAAAACAAACAGCTTCAGCAGCCTCACAACGGACGGTGCTGCATGTATGCAAACACAGAGCAAGACCGCTGATCGGCTGTTTGGTACGTTTCAAAATGTAAACTATAACGGCCTTTAAATGCAGCACTGCCACAAAGCTTTCACAAGCCCAAGGCTTGATACCTTCCAGGTGTGAGAGACCAACTACCTGTGTGACAGCATCTCCTGCTGGCGGCTGGTAGAGATGCAGCAGTGCAGGCAGTGAACAGGCTACTAAAACATACTGTAGTGACACAACTATTCCTCATTCTACAGACCATCTCTGGAGAGAAATGTATACAGTATAGCTATATAGTTAATGTAGTATTGGTCCATTGTTTTACTGCATATATTTTGCCAACAAAAACGGCATTTCAAAGAGATTTCAATGTAACATCTCCACAATATAGATGAAAGATATAAAGATGATTTGATTAAAAAAATATGTAATTAAATTAAAAAAAAAAAGGTTGGTCATCCTCGTCTCTCAACCAACAATTGCTAGCACACATTGGAAGACAAAATGCCAAATCCACCACGTTTTTGAAGCAGATATTGCCATGAAATTCTATAAGCAACAAACATCTGATAGTATACATACAACTATAAAAAAAACAAATGAAACGAGGAAGTAATCGAACTATGACTAAACATCTTTTAACCACAAGGAATACTTGTTGAGCCAGTTTAATTACCTAGTAACGCCAACACAGATCAGATACCCGACGGCAGCAGATCAACACAGGTGAGCTCCATCCGTTTCTTATCACTAGATTTGTTTTTATTATTTATTGTGGGACTAATCGACATGACTGGTGAAGCATTTAACTCAAATCTTCTTTGTAAATGGCTCATATGAACTTCAGATAAAATACATGATTGTACAGAAACGAGGACTGTGGATTCCTTCTGATACTTTAACTCTCTCTGCTTAGCAGGAAAAATGGCAACAAGCAAAACCTGTTTTAACGTTCATATGGCCACTAGACTAATGTTTTAAGAAAGACATTTCAATGTGAACTTACTAGGGGTGTAACAGTTCACAAAATTGTCGGTCGGTACATTTTCAATACAGCAAAAAAGCAGAATGCCAAATCCTCGCTGGTGAGACTCTTAAGGGGGCGTGTCTGAAGAACATGGCTCTTCATCTCCCATTCAGTAGTGAGGTAATGTGTCGTTACAGTCAGGTAGCTTTGTGTAGTCTGTGACGTCCGGCTGTCTGTTGTCAGAGGAACAGCGGGTGCTTCGGACATTTGATTCTCTGTTTGGGGTTTTGTTTTCTTTTACAAAGCAGGAATTATGGTCGAAATGGGCTTGTGAAGGAGGAGTGTCATGGGGCTCAATAACATTAAGTAAGTACGATTTATTTATTAAGCACTTCTTACAGACATAAGTCACAAAGTGCTAAACAGGGGCAGAATTACAAACAAACAACACAATGTGACCATATAAGGGCAATAATTTACATACACACAGAAAGTACAAAATTAAAACATGGTTTAAAAGCAGGCCTAGGACATGAGTTTTTAGTCAAATGCCAGGTGTGTCTTGAGCTGATTCTGGAATGAATTCACCGAAACTTAGGGGCGCAGGCAGAGCATTCCACAACCTTGGTGCTACTGCCTCAAATGCTCGGTCACCAAGGGTCTTATCTGTCTGTCCCACGCGAGTGCGTAGGACAGACAGACAGATAATTTAACATGTTTGACCTGAGAGGGCGGGCGGGTGAATAAGGGTTAAGTAATTCAGTCAAATATGTAAGAGCCTGGCCGTGTAGTGCTCTGTAAGTGAGAGTGAGAATTTTTAAGTGGATCTGAAATGCTACAGGGAGCCAGTGGAGAGATCGGAGTACGGGGGTGATGTGAGACCTTCGATTTGTCCTGGTGAGTAATCTGGCGGCAGCGTTTTGGATTACCTGCAAACGGTTGAGAGCAGCTACACTGAGTGACGAGAAAAGTGTGTTGCAGTAGTCGATGGGTGAAGAGATGAATGCGTGCATGATCAACTCTAGTTCAGCTGTTGATACTACAGATCTCAGTTTACTGATATTTCTTAGGTGGAAGAAACATGATCTGGACAGCTGCTTAACATTGGGGTCAAACGACATGGATCGATCAAAAATAACCCCTAGATTGTACAGGTTGCAATGGGCAGCAGAGGAGAGTGGACCAATACCCTGCTTGATCGTAGGGACAAATTCATCTGGTGCAATAACTAGAACCTAAGCATGTTCGTACAGACAGTAGAATGTTTTTCTTCCGTGGTGGGAGTGTCAGACCGCACGTTGTCCGTTACGTCGGGTGGGTTGCCATGTTAAGCGCAGTGGCTCCACCGAGAGAACATTATATTTCCCACAGTTTAAGCTTTTGCATAAATGCAATAGTATTATTCAAACGTATTGTTCGGTTCGTAATGCGTAGGGAACCGAACGCCTCGTACCAAACGGTTCAATACAAATACGTGTATTGTTACACCCCTAGAACTTATCCTTTAGGTGTTGAGCTATTCATCAAAATAAAAAGATATTATAAAATAGATTTATTGAGTCAGGAAAATAATCATGAGATGCATCGCCAGTTGCAAGTATGCTTTGGTAATGTACAAAATAGATGATTAATGTAAGCAATAACGTTTTAAATATCTCTACAGGATGATGGAGAAGACAGGAAGAGTCATGATCTGCTGTGTAGCTCTGTTCCTTGTCCTGACCTCTGTGTCGGCACAGAGAGAGATTTATTCAATCAACAATTTGAAGGAAATCAACTTTGGTCAATCTGTGCCCAAGCACAGTCTTTTGCTGCTCTACTGGTTTGCCAACGTAGTGGACATCGATGAGGACGACGACATAAGCCTGACCTTTGACCCGGAAAGTAGAGCTTATGGCTCACATCATTATGGTAACTATGAGGGTCTGTTGGACGACTTGCCTTTGAGCAATGTCAGATACAATTACTACACTCTTGGCAGTCTCAATCAAGAAACTTCCATGCAACTTCCTCGTTATGTTGTCCGTCCCCCAACAACAGAGTACGTGGGAAGTAACATGGACAGGATCATAATTCGCATCAGGGAGCCGAACATAGGACGTAGAGCTCAGCAGAATATAGACCAAGTTTATATCACACAGCATATTGAACATCAGAGGGAATATGATCCAGATAATACCTACAGGATCACTACTAACCTCTTGAGACAGATCAGACAGTTTTCTGTAGGAGAAAACCAACAGCAACTGTTGCAACTCAGAAACCACTTTAGAAGCAACACTGATATGTCCCACATCAGAAACACATGGGGTGGACTTGCTGGCCTCGGACTGCTGTTGTTTGTGATTCAGGAAAGGTACTCCTTTTACCCAGAAAACAGTGGCCAAACGGAAAACAACTACCAAACGGAAAACAAAACGGAAAACAGCGGCCAAACGGAAAACAGCGGCCAAACGGAAAACAACCACCAAAAGGTAAACAAGTACCAAAAGGTAAACAGTTGGCAAATGGAAAACAACCACCAAAAGGAAAACAACCACCAAATGGAAAACCACCACCAAATGGAAAACAGTTGCCAAATGGAAAACAGTCGCCAAAAGGAAAACAACGGCCAAACTGAAAACAATCACACAACACAAAACTACGGACCACAAAACAACTACAGACCAGGAAACATACAAAATAATGGGGAGGATGACGCTTTAATGATCTGCATACCTTTGGTATTGGTTTTAATTTGTTTATTCATATATTTTCTTAAATCATTGAGAATTTAGATGACAAAAAATAAGGGAGAACAATAGATATTGTCTAAACCAAGGTGTGACGGTATAGCTTTTTTAAGGCCGATTAGGACCATGAAGCCAACAGATTCACCAATCAATTGGGAAAAAAAAAAAAAAAAAAAAAAAAAAAAAGAATCATTAGTTACGACACCTCAGTACTCCTGAACAATGCCAGGGGTTGTTCCGCTGCATGCTTTGTTTTGCCTCCACATGTTTGATTTTATTGTTTACCATTTTTTTTTTGTAAATGGGGTTCAGTTAGCATAGAGATATATGCTTTGTATATAATCTGGTGATGAAATGCCAAATTCCTTCAATCACCCATCTCAAACCGCTGTGATGGTCTGAGAATCTTAAGGACATTTGGACCTTCAAAGCTCGGTCTACTAAATTGCATCCGTTAATAAAAGCAAAGAGTCTAAATTATTGAAAAGAATTTAAACTGACCAAAATGTCTTTTATTGTATATCATAATGCACTGCTCTGGCACTGTCATTAAGCTTCAGGGTCCATTCAGGCAACACTGTCGTGCTCCAGCATGTATAATCTAATAGTAATGACTCACTGATGATTCCTCGATTGTTCTAACCAATACAGAGAATGTAAATTGCTCTGATGGATAAATGAAACTGATCGGTGAAAGGCTCTATGGTGTGTTAACAACAGCTGTGATTGATAATGTTTAGCTTATAAATAAAGGGTTTATTTCATCTATGGTTTTGTGTTTATTAAACTATAATTAACAATCACAATGATGAGTGTTTTTATTTTAATACAATAAATGAAGGAAGAAATCAAACTTGTTATTAGACTTTTTGTTACCACCAGCAAAGCTCGTTTAGTCAGTTTCATTTACAGCGAAGCAGTGACCTAGAAGATGTCACGCCTACTCTCACAAAAACACAGATCAGATACCTGACAAACAAACGCAGGTGAGTTCTCTTATTTTCTGATTACTAGTTTTGTTACACAGTATTATATTCTTGAATCCAAAACAGCTGTATTATGCAACTTCCTGTAACCACAAGCAACACTTGATTTCAGTTTCATTTACAGGGAAGCAGTAACCAGGAGGAGTTGAACAGGCTCTCACACAATCACAGGGATCAGAAAACTAACGGCAGCAGACAGACGCAGGTGAGCCCTCTTTAAATATGATCATGTTTTGTTTTTAGTATCTAACCTCGCACTATGCAACATGACTGGTGAAGCATTTAATCAGTTCTTCTTTGTGAGCGTTCTCAAAAGGGAATTTGGTATATAGACAGTAACTTTAGAAAAGTACTTGATTTGATTAACTCACGCTACTGAAGTCTAAGTTTATCTGAAATTAATATATTTAGCATAAAATATGCAAAATATGCATTTTTATTTTACATAAAATGAGGAATATGTATTCCTTCCTCATTCTGGCCTACCTCTTACTAGTCAGTAAAAGCAGGAGGAATGATAAACAAAACCTGTTTCAACGTTCATATGGCCGTCTGACTATTGTTTTGAGACACGTGAAACATTGTCATCCTATCCGTTGGTGAGGCCTTAGTGTGAGATATTCAACAAAAAAGAAATTATAGATTAATCCAATCATGAAAATAGCCATTAGATGAATCTCTGGCTACAAATACATTGAGGTTGATAATGTACAGTATGTTTGAATAATGTAAGCAATAACATTTTAAATATCTCTACAGGATGATGGAGAAGACAGGAAGAGTCATGATCTGCTGTGTAGCTCTGCTCCTTGTGCTGACCTCTGTGTCGGCTGTACAAAAGCTTCGTTCAATCAATGCTTTGAAGAAAATCAACTTTGGTCAATTGGTGCCCAAACACAGTCTTGTGCTGCTCTACTGGTTTGCCAACGCAGTGGACATCGACGACAATAACGTCATATGGTTAACCTTTGACACCGACAGAGAAGATTATGGCTCACATAATTATCACAACTCTGAGGGGCTGTTGGACGACTTGCCTCGGGGAAATGTACACCAGTACTACACTATTGGCAATCTCTATCAACAAACATCCATGCCACTTCCTCGTTATGTTTTCCGTCACCAAACAGAGTATGAGGGAGGAAACAGGGTCAGGATCATAATTCGTGTCAGGGAGCAGAACACAGGACGTAGAGCTTTGCAGAGGATAGACCAAGTTTATATCACACAGCATTATGACATTGATGACGGTCTGGGGACAGATTATGATCCAGATCATACCTACAGGATCACTACTAACCTCTTGAGACAGATCAGAGAATTTTCTGTTGGACAAAACCAACAGCAACTGTGGCAACTCAGAAACAACTTCAGAAGCAACGCTGATGTTTCCCACATCAGAAACACATGGGGTGCTAACCTTGCTGGCCTTGGACTGCTGTTGTATATTGTGATCCAGGAGAAGTCCTCCTCTAACCAACGCAACAACCAACATGATAAAAGACAAAAACGTCGGGATGATGTTCGAGTGGACGTCGATGAGGACCACGAAGCCAACAGGACGACTGGGAACA